GGTTGGATCAAATGGGGAGAGGAACAAGAGCATGCATTCAAAACTTTGAAGGATAAATTGTGTCTGCATTGTTCTTGTTTACATGATTTTCTAAAATTTTGAAATTGAATGTGATGCTTCTGGAATAGGTATGGGAGTTGTTTTGATACAGGATGAACGTTCAATTGCATACTTCAACGACAAGTTAAATGGAGCACCATTGAACTATTCTACTTATGACAAGCAGTTATATATTTTTAGTTTGTGCACTACAAGTGTGGCAGCATTACCTACTTCCAAAAAAATTTGTGATTCATACTGATCATGAGTCCCTCAAGTATTTAAAGGAACAAAGGAAGCTAAACAAAAGACATGCAAAGTGGATAGAGTTCATTGAGACTTTTCCCTATGTGATTCGTTATAAGTAAGGTAAAGACAATGTAGTGGCAGATGCATTATCTAGACGTGAAATTTCTAGTTTAGATGGTAAGAAGGCTGAAATGTTTAAAATTATTCATGAGAAAGCGCGTGAGCAAATTAAAAAGAAGAATTAAGTTTATACTCAAAGGGTTAACAAAGGGCAAAAACAGGTTATACTTGAACTTGGTGATTGGGTTTGGGTACATAAACGCAAGGAAAGGTTTAAAACGAAGAAAATCAAAGTTGGATCCGAGAGGCAATTGACCATTTCAAGTGTTGGAGAAAATTAATAATAATGCTTATCGGATTGATCTCCCTGATGAGTATTTTAAGTTCGTTATTTTTAACGTTTTTGATCTTTCTCCTTTTGATATGAATGCAGATTCAAGGACAAATTCTTTTGAAGAAGGGAATAATGCAGGCATGGGTTCAAAGACATTAAAGAGAAGTTTGAAAAAGATATTATAATGCCAGTTGGTCCAATCACAAGATTTCAAGTCAAGAAATTAAAACGTACATTTCACGACTTTGTACAAAGATGGATACAATAAAAACTTAGCACATGTGAACTATTTGAAAAATCAAAAAAGCCAAAAAAGATTATTAATTTTGTCCGAATGTGTGGACATAATTTACAATGAATGTTTAGGATCATTTGGTCATTTTCTAAACTTTCTTTCTTAACTTGCATATTAAGAGCTCACCTAATAACCAATGATTCTCCACAAGCAGCATACTCAACATTATCATCACAATCTTCTAAAGGTGGCATATTATCACAATCAGAATCAGATTCAGACTCAATATTCCCATTGTTCGTAATAAACATGACCTTCTTATTTGAACATTGTGAAGCAACATGTCCCACTCCCAAACATCTAAAACATTTAATATTTATATATTTATTAGTAGATGTGAGATCAGAAGTACCTTTAATAAATGATGAGATACTTTTATCTTTGAAATCTGTAGCCTTCTCCTTGGAACCAAAGCTCTTATTCTTGGTCTTCTCCTCTCTCTTAGGCCACTTTGAATTCCAATTGCTATTAGAACCAGAATATGACTTTGCTGTCCCCATACTTTTCAATTGTCTTTATACTTTCATGACCATATTAACCATCTCCTCCAGTTCAACATAGTGATGTAATTCAACTATATCGAAAATTTCTCTATTCAAGGCACTTAGAAATCGTGCCATGGTAGCTTCTCTATTCTTGATATTTACTCGAATCATGACTATCTTCGTTTCTTTTTAATAATCTTCAACTGATTTAGACTCTTGAGTGAGCATTTGCAATTTCTGATGGAGCTCTCTGTAGTAAAATGATGGAACAAATATTTTTCTCATGATAGCTTTCATTTGAGTCTAGGTGGTGATGGGTGCCTCTCGATTACGTCTCATAGAAATGAGTAATTGATCCCACTAAACCAAAGCATAATCAGTAAATTCAACGGCTGCTAACTTCACATTCTTTTCCTTGGAGTAGTTATGACAATCAAATATCAACTCAACTTTTTTCTTCCATTTTAAATAAGTTTCAGCATCATTTCTATCTTGAAAAGAAGGAATCTTCATCTTGATAGAATTAAGATTGTTGTCCCTCCTTTCGGGTCTTTGTACCGTTGACTCTTCACTATCTTCATTTGCTTCACTTTCTATCTCGTCATCATTCAACATATTTTTTCTTTTCCTATTTTGTCTCCTTTGATTAGGACCATCTTCTCGGCCTCGAATCCTATCCATATCACCTTTCATGTTGTTTATGTCTCTATTATGCTTCTCAAACTGCTTTTGAATTGCTTCTAACATCAAGGCTATGTCATTCATAGTTATTTCACGCTTCTCACTTCTAGAATTTGACATGATGTAAAACCTGCAAAAAATGTTTGTAAAGAAAATTTCTCACAACACTCCCTTGCATGTTTCACTTTTAAATATATTTGTAACTTCTCTCGTGTTTTCACTCAGGATTTTGGTTTTTATCCTCTTCTACACCACACCTTGCCTTTTACTACTTTATTCTCTTCTTCAAGTTGTACTTCAGAATTGAAAGTAAGTCAATCAAGATAAACAAGTAGTTGTTTATGTGACATTTCAAGGAATCCTAATGAATGAGAAGGTAAATAATTAACATTAAATGCAAATTAGATAAATAAGAACATAATCTTCTAAACACATATTAAACTGTACTTTTAGTGTAATGAAAACAAGAGGTATGTGAAGAAACGAAACTAAAAAATGTAAGAAAATGATTTTCGACTAATGATAGTAGAATTCAAATCACTCCTAATGAAAAATCTGAATATGTAAATATAAAATTTATTCCCAATGTAAGATACGCTCTAAACAATAAAAATTATGCTATTGTGAGGCAATATATGTGAAGTGAATGCACTTTGCTTAAGATGGATAGAATTGAAAGTTCAATGAACACACAATTTCTCTTTTACAATAGATGTTGATTCTGATATTTCTTTTTTTTTTTCTTTATTTTTTTTTTACTTTTCTTTTGATTTCTTTTTTTAGTTCGGCTAATAAGAACAAAAACAAAAAGACAAATAACATAGAATTGAAGAATAAAAACAAAGTGCAACCAAAATTAAGAATAATAAAAATAGAAGTTGAACAGTATAAACAAATAAAAATAAGAAAATAAACTTAGATAAATCAAACACAAATGATACCTAGAGATTTATTAAAGGCTAAAACTCTGATATCAAACTGATGCGGAACCCGAGGATCAAAGATTACATTTAGTATCCCACAAATTAGCATAGATAACTTAGAATTCTAAACAAATTTTCCCTACTAAACTCACAACTAATATGTAATTGAGAATGTGAGTAATTGGGATGAAATAAGCAAGAATGAATAAATACCGCAAGATAACTGAATAAAATAATTCAATTCTTGATGCGACAAGAAAAATAAGTATTCTCACTTGTCCAAATTCTAACAAAGGTAATGAAATTTATTCAATAATCGAAGTGTGTCATATTACATTAAAAATTATATATTTATATGTTAAATAGATTTTTCCAAAGGATCATAATTAGATGACTTAGGGAAACATAAACATAATTTAAATGACCTAAAGAAATATGATATTAAATGACCTAGGAAAATATGGTATTTAATGACCTAAGGAATATGGTATTTAATGACTTAGGAAAATATGGTATTAAATAATATAGGGGAACATAATATTAAATGATTTAGAAAAATATGATATTAAATGATTTAGGGAAACAAACTATTAAATGACTTAGGGAAACATGAATATAATTTAATTATTTAGGAAATGATCAAAATGATTCTAAACATTCATTTTAAATTATGCTCACATACTTGGACAAAATTAAGGATCTTCTTTAATTTTTTTTATTTTTCAAATAGTTCACATGTGCTAAGTTCTTATTGTATTCATATTTGTACAAAGTATTGAAATGTATATTTTAGATTCTTGGCTTGAAATCTTGTGATTGGGCCAGCTGACATTGTAATATCTTCTTTATGCTTCTCTCTAATGCCTTTTGAACCCATATCCGCATTAGCCTCTTTTTTTTGAGTGGTTGTGATAAATTCTTATAACTCAGTGACTACCAATATCAAGAGTAGGCTTCTATTTAAGTTAGAATTAGGATTAATAATCCAAATCTAAAAAACCATTAAAATTTTGGTATGATTAGGATTTAAATCCTCATTTTGGCCCTAAGTTTGGCAATTTTGAGCTTTCATTCTCTCGTGGTGACTTATGAAAAGTTAATTTACTTATAGATTGAATCTCATGTTTGAATCATACTAAAACTAAAACCCTTCAAATTCTAGTCAAGCTAGAATTTAGTGTCCAAATTGGAAATGCTCTTTCAGATTCTCTATGAAATTAATTTCTAGATATCTAATTATTTAATTGGTAGTTAAATTCTTGCTTTATCAATTCAACCTAGAGATTGGCCAGCTATTCTCTCTTATGATTAGCTAGTCTTCCTCTTTTTGATTGGTTTTCTTTCAAGGATATCTAATCCTCCTTATTTGTATGTTCTTCTTCCTTTTTGTATATTTTCTTTTTCTATTAAAATAAACTTGTTTCGAATCGTACTACAATTACAAAATTTTGATGTGCGAATTGACTTTTAAGAACTTTTCAAACGTACACAACTGTCCAATCTAATTTAATATTTAAATTTAACTCTTGCTGGAATTGTAATTGCATATTATGCTTTTGTGCCCTTTTTTAATAGAAAAAAAGTATTCTTAGAAAAGATGGAAGAGAAAAAATTACAAAAGACTAAGACATCCTTTTCAAAGCCTCCAAAAAGAACTTGAGGGAAACAAAATAGAGGAAAAAACAATAGCACCCAATTCCAAAGAACAATTGACAACTCTAAAGCGCCAATTTCCCTCACCCACAAAGGAGCGAAGACGGTCATTCTATCCCAAGGAAGCTTGAGGAGGAATATAATGATGCTTGAAATTCTATAGATTGCTTCAATTACAAAACCTGCAAGTGATGAAAAAGAGCACCTCTCTAAAGGGTCCTAGCTTCCTTCTTCACTCGACCCCTTTGTAAAGGAAATCAGAGAACACCAAAGAGGAGGGATGGGTACTCACATCATGCCAAAAGTATCAAAAACCATAGTGCAGAGCTTCCAAGCACGTCATACTGGAGGAAAAGATGACAATGAGATTAGCACTCTAGAAGGCATCATACACATGTCTGGGGAGAGAGCAGGGTCAGACTTGTGAACTTGCAGCAAGTCATTTGTGTTTAATCTGTTAATTGCAAGAATCTAGGCAATAATCTTAACCCTAGAGGGGATTTAATGTTCACGAAAATTTAGTACTCAAAGCTAATTGGCATGAATGACATGATTTGGTACTCAAAGGCTTCTAGTTGACATAATAACCTTAACCCTGGGTGAGTTTCTAGCTTGAAGAATGGATTGATATACTCTATTGATTTTACAAGGAAGGCACAATGGACTCTTTTTCGAGATCATGTATCAGTGGTATTTTGAGTACTTGATCTAATGAGGAACGTCAATAATTGGGAGGTTGATGATTATTTTAACTTATTTCAGGTTCTCTTGCAATGTGCAAACTTATTGAGGCTCTAAATGAACTAGTTTGGAAGCCAAACTGTAGAGGAGTTTATTGTAAACTCATATTACCTGCAGTTGGTTGGGAGTGAGGGAGTAAGTGAGAAGTTTACTTGTTGTTCTCTACTAAATTTTATTATTTAATTATTTTAGTTTATTATTTAATTAGGTAGTATTATGTAATTAGAATTTTATAAAAATAATAATCTCATGTAATTAGAAATTTAGTAAAATAAGAATTTCGCTATTAGTAGGATAAGAATTCTATAAATATTTTAAGTGTAATAATTTAAAAAATGAAAAATAAAATTTATATTTTTTCTCCAAATCAACACTTGTATATTTGGAAGATCAATGCACCACCTAGGAATTATTTTTTTGGTGTATGGGGAGCGACAAAGGAATGCATTTTAACAATAGAAAACTAATCAAAAGGGGGAAAATTCATGTAAATGGGTGTGATTTGTGTAAGAGAGCTGCCAAGTTTTGCAACCATATCCTTCTTTGTTGCCTTTCTCGTATTGGCCTTGAGCTATGGCTTATATTCTATTGAGAGTAAATTGGTGATGATGAGAATAGTGAAAGAAGAGCTTTGAGCTTTGGAGATGCATCCATAACGGTGAATGCTTCAACAAGACCT